TTGTCAACCTACTATTATAATTATCTAATTTCAATTTTTGCATTTTGAAGGGATTATCCATTTCCAGATAGATATTCCTGTTTCCTTTCTCAAAGTGAGTTGACCATGCATATGTATATTTCTGGGCTCAGTGTTCTGTTCCTTTTGTCTAGGCATCTGTTTTAAGTCTAGCATTATACAGTCTTGATTACTGTAGCTTCAAAATGCAATTTGAAACTAGACAAGGTGACTTCTATTTTGTCTTTGTTGATCATGATTCATTGCTATTCAAGGTTCTTTGTGATGTGATTCTGTAAGAATTTTACCATTTATTTCTGTGAAAAATGCTGTGGAATTTTGGCAAGAGTGCACTGAATCTATAGTAGTCCACCATTTGGAAACTAGAAATAGCCGAAGTTATCTTAAAAGTCGCTCAACTAATTCTGAGAGATATATAAATCTAACTACACACATCTAATTTAAATTACATATGAGACATGTAAATATATATATATGCACATACATATGGCAATATATAGTACTTATATATTGGTAATAATCACCTATTGTCCAATTTAACTTCAGGTCCCCATAACTGGAGGGAAATTATGCTTGACACAAAAAGCCTAGACAACTAACTACATGTGGCTAATGAGGTCATAGATCCTAAAGGAGAACCTACACCACGGTGTTACTATGCCCGCTATTAATCCCTAACTACATTCTAAATACGTATCTTTGTATCTACATATAAGCATATCTCTCACCCCTCATTAAAAAAAAAAGCATCTTTGGCCAACAGAGACCATTGCAGAAATCCACAACTAATAAAAATGCAGAGAATATCTCCAGCTAGTATATCTACAATACAACCCCTGCACCCAAGGCTCAGGAAAGATCTCAGAAGAGGGAGCAGAAGAATTGTAAGAGCCAGAGGTCCAAGAAGTCTGCTTTGAGATTGTGTCTTCTCTATGTAACAGGAAAGTGTCACCCATGAAACATCAACATACAACTTTCTAAACAAGACCTGAACAATTCCAACAACAGTTGACATATCAAAGTACGGGGGTAACCTCACAGGACCCTATCCCTAGAAAAGAAGACACATACATAACTTCCTTTATTATGGTGAATCATATTTAATAACTTCTCAGAGAAGGGGAACTAGGTTTTCTCAGGGATGAGCCAATACCAAGTAGTCAACCTTAAAACCATACCACCAAAACTAAATGAAATAATCAGGTTATATTTGTCTGTGTGTGTGTGTGTGTGTGTGTGTGTGTCTGTGTGTGTGTGTGTGTGTGTGTGTGTGAGAGAGAGAGAGAGAGGGAGGGAGGGAGGGAGGGAGGGAGAGACAGACAGACAGACAGACAGAGACAGAGAGACAGAAAGACAGAGAGGACAGAGACAGAGGAGAGAGACAGAAGAGAGAGAAAGAGAGAGAGAATGAACAGAAATTAAAGAAGAGGCCATGAATTTAAGAGGGAGGTAAGTGAGGGAAAGATGCCAGGGAGCTTGGGTGGAGAAGGAAGGTGGAAATGACACAGCTATGTTTTAATTAAAAATATTTTTAAATTAAAGAACAAAATGTAAAAACTTCTTCACAAAAAAGGATTAAAACTCAAATTTCAGAAGTTCTAAATGTTAGATGACTATAATTAAAATTCAAAGATAATAAGCATCCAGGAGGAGGAGGAAAAGAAAATACTTCTATTTTGTCAGTGGGAATGTAAGTCAACACAACCATTAAGGAAAATATGGAACTTACTCAAAAAATTAAGCCCAGGACTACCATAAGGTACAGAAATCCCACTTCTTAATACATATCCATAGATAATAAAAATTGGTCTATCAGAAACAGTGTCTGTTCTCCATGATCACTGTTGTATTACTCAGAACAGTAAGGTAAAGTTTACAGATCTTAACTGTCCATCAGCAGATGAATGCTTAAGAATTGTTATACATATACAAATTATCACATAACTTTAAAAAGCAAATAATTGTCATGTTAAATGGAGTGGAGAATATTGTGCTAAATGAAATGAGATGTCAAAAGACAAAAGCTATGTAACTTATTTGTATACGTGGAATACTTGAGCATTCTCACCATTAAGAGGGACACAGGCAATAGATACATTAATTTTCAGTGTAAGATTTTATGCTTACATTATTGATTTATTTTATTATAATATTGGAAAGATGTTAATTATGTTATGTATATGAAGATTAATGATCTGATCAATTGATGGTCACTACATTTGCATTAACATTAAGCAGTAAATAGTTTACCATCCAGCAAAGACCAGTTATCTGACTTTATCTATTTGGTTCAGTGTCAATTTGTATTTTGTAATTTAATAGTCAGAAGCAGTTATAAGACCTTGGATCACACTAAGGGTTAGCCTCCATGGCCACAGAAATGGGTACCTAGACAGTACCTGTCTCTAAACACTTCGCACAGGACAGCTGGAACAGAAGTCAGCTTAGCTGGCAGCAGCATCAGAGCTGACCTGATAAGACTTAGGGTGTATACACCTTCTATCATCTTCCCAAGCTGCCACGATTCTTCCATCTCACAGAGGCTCAATGTGAACTCACAGACTGGAGAGAAAAAAAATCAATCTAAAAGAGAGTTGTATGCACCTGGTGGCTGCCCCGCTCAGGAATATTTGCTCCCTTCCTCATCTTCACCCTGTCCTCTTTCCACCCATCCCCTCTTACTGCGTTGAAGGAATCAGTCACCTGCCCCTAAAGCCCTCCCCCTTCACCAGGCTCACTTGCCACTCAATCTGTCTGACAGCATAGTTGGGCTCTCATTTTTCAATGCTAGAATTATTCATGTCACAAAAAAAACAAGAATAAATCAAAAGTACAAAAAGCATTTAGTTGTCAAATCTTTATCATAGAACAAAAATATTTTAAATTCATTCTATTTTTCTTTGCAACATAGAAAAACATGTTAAATTGTTGATGCGTTAGCAATCTAATAAGGTTTTGTTTGAAAGGGAGTTTTTCAGAAAAGGCTTTAACAGCGTAAGAGTTAAGCATCTTAATGCTAACTCTGGTGGTCAGGCTCAGCAGCAAGTGCTTTAACTATGGGACCATCTTGCCACCAGAGTCTGATCCCTGGAAGCCATATGGAAGGAGAAAATTGACTCTCACAAGTTGTCCTCTGCCATTCACATGTGCATGAACATATTGCATGTACATACATGAATACACACACACAAGGAAACAAAAGTTAAAGTACTTTAGTGAATGAGCTTGGGTGTGTTCTTAGCAGGATTATCCTGTGTGAGCATAGTAAGAGAGCTACACTAAAATCCTTCAGATTGTTTTCCCAGAGTGTTTTATATGTAATGAGACAGTTGAGGAAATGGCTTAAAAGGTATAACTAGAAATCACAAATTAACATGTGGCTCATGTGCCTTATACAAATTGGACCAAGACATTCAAAGAGGTGGCTTTGACATCTTACATAGAAACTATTTCAATCTGGAACCACTAACCAGCTCGCAACATGGACCTTAACCAAAGAAATTCTTTTGTCATTTCTTCAACTACCCAATAAACCTTCCCATTCCAACCCTGCTACAGGACAATGAACCACTGTGCAGTGGCACTTCCCAATTCACTTATAATACAAAACTTGAACACAAAACTTCAGATGTGCTAAGTTCTTTGTGGACTGCTACTGCACAGGCTCCATGGACTGTAGTGTGGGATGTTGTGAACACAGTTACCATTTCTGAGGAGGAAGTACACAACAGATTCACAGGTGTGTATTAGACAAACTTAAAATGCCAGAGTCTGTTGGGAGCTGCAGAGTACCACACCCATAAAATGGTGCCGGTTTCGGCATTCCGCCAGCCCAACGGCAAGTGCTCTCAGTAAGTAAACAACTCCTTATTAGGAGTTAGGCCACTTACCCTTCTAGATCTGCTTGGTGACAACCTATCCTAGTGTGCCACCTGGGTGTAGTTGATTGGCTATCGCTGAGTATATTAAGCCCTGACTTCCTGGGGTCAAGGCCACTCCCTGTAAGCAAGTATCCCTAATACACTGTGAGAAGAAGATTCCTCGCTGCCGCATCATTCTTGCTGGTCGAGGGTGGTCGCCACAAGAGTCCATTTCGAATTATTAACTCAAGTATGAAATTAAGATTTACAGTTGCAACTATGTTCTACAAAGCATGGTCCTAGTTAGGTTTCTCAACTTGACACAGCCAAGATCATCAAACTTCAATTAAGAAACTGTCTCCAGATGACAATAGTGGAGGCCATTGGTGTTCCTGTATCTGTTTCAGGGTTGTGGTAAAGATGTTTAAGTTCCTCAGATCTCACATGGAAACCATCATATCTGCCCTCTGAAATGTCCACAAAGTATTGGTGAGACTCTCTGCTACCCTGTTATCCAGGTGTCATTCTGATACAGTGTGCTCTGTAGTACCAGTCTTGGGGACATGAACGAAACTATCTCAGAAAATATTCAGAGGTATAGTGTGGTGGTTGATTTGGATCTCAGTCTAACTGGATCTGGAATCAACTAAGAGACAAGCTGCTGACACAGAAACATAGATGCACCTTCCAGTGGCTGCCCAGACAAAAGAGGTCCAAGATGCCTTCTGCATTTGCCTTCACATCTCATTAGCAAGTTTATCTGCCTATTGCTGTCCCTGCTGCATTTCTTTGCTCATAACAAAATCCAGATTCCTCGGGATTCCAACACACACTGAAGATCAGTGGCTCTTCAGGAGCCCTCCAAGACCTCAATACCAGATTGGGACTGTTGAACACAGTTTTTAGAACTGAGCTACTTGGTTCTTAGATTCTTCCATGTGAAGATAGCTATTACTGGCCTATCCAGACCATATTTTACAAGCCAACACAAGAAATGCCCCTTTAACATACATTCATTTGGCCAGTGCTTATTTTAAGTTGAAGGAATACCCTTAATGAGAAAAAAAGAAAATGCCTCCATTTGGTTGGCAAGTCTTCAAGGGTAATTTTAGTAGTAGTAGTAGTAGTAGTAGTAGTAGTAGTAGTAGTAGTAGTAGTGATCCATTATCAGTGATATCCCAGGTCACTAAGGACAGTGTTACCCCTGGGCCAGTGGTCCTGGGTTGTCCAGGAAAACAGGCTGAGTGAACTGTGTTACCTCAGTAGTGAGACAGTATAGTTCCTCTAAGGCCTCTGCTTCAGTTCCTGGCTTAAATTTCTGCCCAGTAAACTGTAAGAGGAAATAAACCCTTTCCTCTCCAAATTGTTTTTGGTCATGCTAAGACACTCATCAAAATCAAAACCCCTAGGACAAAGGAAATGATTTTTTATTTTAAAATTTCTTAGAGGCTTACAAAGTAACTCTGAGTGATAGAAATTCTATTCCCAAAGACAAGATTATTGGAAAGGTAATTTGTTAATCATTAAGGTACTAGCAGTAACAGCATCCCTCAAAGATTAGGAGACATGTTTTTGGATAACTAACTTCATTGTGTAAACACAGTACAAATGCACAAATAAAGTTGCCTTTGATCTTTCTAGATGATATAACCATATGGGTCCTCCATTGTGTGTGTTCTCCATGCGTGACCAAAATATTATGTGTTGCATGACTGCATTTACCAAGCTTCAAGCTTGGCAGTAGAGAGAAGGGTCCAAATTCTATGGAGACAACATCTTTCCTATGTAAGTTAAGTATAGATTACACTTATATAGTTAACTTTTCCACTTGAAACATGAAAGGTCAAGGACATTTTTGCTGACAACTCAAAGCTACACCCACTATCAACAGAGTATGTATCATAGAAAGAGCATCTTGTTGTCCTAACCCTCCCATGAAAAAAAAGTAAGTACTCTACATTGTCCAGACTTGAGTTGAAAGTGACCCCAACTGGGTAAAACACATGAACCAACAACACCAAGCTAGGCATCACCCACCACAGAGGTCAGGTTCTGCAACCATCCAACACACTGGGACACCAGTTTCCCCTACAATTCCTACATTAAAACAATGACAAGAAAGTGCTGCATTGATTGAAAGCAATCTGCTCCATCTGTCAAGGCAAACAGCAAAAGCTTTACTCAACCATGCAGTACAAAAAGACCAGCTTGGGGAACCCAGTTGATTATACAGTGGAAATGGATTTTAGAGTATTTACCTTGGTGCATAATCATCACAATCAGCATAAAGATGGCTTCTTCATCCCAAGATGTCTATTATCAATCACTGCTCCTGACTGGCGCCAATCTACATGTTCATACACAAAAAACCATTCATACACAATTTATCAAACTTTAGTCTATATATGTATATTCCTGAGATGCCACCACAATCAAAGTAAAATACATGTCCATCACTTCTAAAACTATTTTCACCACTTTCTATGGGCTTTTGTTTTCATTTTTGCTTTTATTTGGGGGGGGGCGGTTGTTTTGTTGTTGTAGTTGTTGTTGTTTTGGAGCTTGGAAGGGTTTTGGTTAGAAGGTAGGACAGTAGCCCTTGCAATGACATCTCTGGCCTCTAGGAAAATCTTAAGTGAACAATGCACTGTTAACTGGTGGTGCTAGGAGTAGATCTTGATTATATAACTAAAATCATACCTACTTAACTTCTCTCTTGTTTGTCCCTGCTGCCAAAATTGGTGAGGACCATTCTTCTCTCTGCATTTAATGGTTTCATTTGTTAGATACTTCTTACAAATAATACAGATCTTCCTCCTTATCCCCATGAGACAAGGATGTCAGGAGGTTCTCCCACCTACACTAGAACCCTGAATTATCTGTCCACAAGAATTAAATCTAATAAATGATCTGAAGGTTTCAATTAGATATTAATTATAAATAGCAATTGCCCAAAGATGTTTTTCCACTGTGCCTTTAGCAATACAGTAGGTTGTTTAACAAACTTTATTACTTTTTCCTGTACCTTGTACCCATCCTAAGACATACACTGTTCTTGACCCATTATTTTTTCCTTCACATAATTCAATCTAGTACAATATCTTGGAGCCAACTTTTTAATGAATATTTGTTGATTTGCCTTGGTTTTTAATATTCTAAGAGAAAAGACTTATTTGTTTTTCTACTTATCACTTGGTTCACAAAGTACAAATACCAGAGGAGAGGCACAAGCCGTCTGTTTTATATCTACACATCAAACATATTTAGGTTTTACCCTAGAAAAGTAAAATTATTTCTTTCTCTTCACTCATTGGTCAGTCAGGAATTTGGGAACTGTTTACAATACAAGTAAGATGTTGAACTTTATTTTAAAGAGAAAATGCTTTCTTATCTTTTAAAAAAGATTTTTGAATTATTTGTCTGTGTGGATGTATGTTCACAAATGCAGTTGTCTACACAGGCCAGAAGAGAACAAAAGACCACCTGGAATAGCAGGTGTATGTGACCCACTTAACACCAGTGCCGTGAGAAATGTAAATGAAATGTATCATCTTCTATCAAAGAGTTAAATGACACTGACACTATGTTCATCTTTAAAGAAATATATAAAGATGCCACCTGGCAAAAACAATCCTCACACGCCCCCCCCAAGCATTTTTAAGATCAAATTACGTACTGAAAGTTGTATCCTATTCTCAACAGTTGCATTTTGCCAAATATCCATGCCCTTTAGAACTAGCAAACAGTCTGAGAATGTGAGGCCAAATTCTGGCCAGATAGAGGGAGGCACAATACTCCTTTGTGTCAGAAATAAAAACTCAGCAGGTGTCCCCTCTGGGTGCATTTGTCTGCTTCATTTGGTCAGAGCTACACACTCCCCTGCAGCAGAACTCTTTGCCTTTCCCAAATAATTTGAATTCTTTGGACATTTTCTTTTTACTCCAGACCCATTTCTAACAGTGCTGGGAACTGAACCTGAGTCCTGAAGTACATACTTTTAACTGCTGAATCATCTCTTCCATCACTTTTTTCTTATGGGGGACAAGAGGTGTTTGGTTTGGTTTGGCTTGTTGCTATTAACTTTGTAACAATGAGAACAAATAGCACAATTAGGAAACCTTAAATTTTTCATTGTTAGTAATGTCCTTTTCCAATTCACATCTAGCATCACAATGTATCAAACATTATGAAACAATTTTTGAACCTCTAAGTTACTTCTATCTTCTAACTCACAGGTGCTTCATTTTTTTTCTAGCATTCAATTTCATTTTCTTCCTTGAATCTACCAACTGAAATCTTTCTTCCCTTGGGAGATCAAGTTTAGAGATATGGGTGAGTATATTTATTCTAATTCATTTGCAGAAGTTAAAGCCATGTTGAACAATTATATCATCTTACAGCTTTTTCAAAAACTCATAAAACTATTGTTAACAGATAAATCAAAATGCCTATGAAACCAATACTCCTTCAGGTTGACCTTTTGGTGTTGATCCAAAAATATGACAGCATGACTGCCTGGAACATTGATTGACCCATGTTACCATGGGCTTCACAGCCCACACTCACTCACTGCATGAGGAAGGACACCATCCCCACAATTTTCTGCTGTTCCCAGTTAAAACCTTACCTTAGGATGTTAGTCCTTCAATGTAAGGCCTTTGATGAAAGCTTAGAAGAAAGAGCCCCTGGCACCAACTAAAAGAGGAACTGAAAGGGGAGTTGAGATTGCATCAAGAACTTTATATACACCCCCAGTAAACTCTGCCCCTTTCTTCATATCCAACAAGAGTCACAAATATCTGAAGCATGAGAAGTGAGGACATTGTTCATCAGAATAAAACACTAAGATGGCATATAAAGAATATGGCAGGCCTGACGTATTAAATTTTACTTTGCCTTTCAACATTGCAATGAAGTGTCACATGGGGTAGTAATTCATATAGAGAGGCAAAACCATTTCAAAACACATTTTGCTATGCCTTATGTCTTAGCAAACATTTTCTGTTTTAACTCCTCTTCTTTCTCTTAGCAAATACTTTCACTTCCTATAATCTGGCAAATTATTCTGCATCAATAAATAATACAATCATTTTATTGTATTACACTCCCAACTTTTAACCCTACAGATAGAATCCCAAACAAATGTTTAACTATTAGGATTCACATTCTAAGTTTCCCAACAACAGTGGGTACCAGTGAGTTAAACATTGATATCAACACATAAACCATGACAAAGGGTAACAGTGAGCACCCAAACACTAGAGAAAACTTACTAGTCCCACCCTTTAATGCTGCTCTATGTAAAAGGAACCACAATCTTCACTGCCTTTATTCTCTGGAATAGTAAAGTAGTGCTCCATAGTACTCTGGTGGACAAGAGAAAGGGAGCTGTCAATTTTTTTTTTCAAAACATCATTTGGAGCACATTTCACTCCATGTGTCTTTTCCAGGAAGTTCCACATTTAAAGAGAAAAGCCCATTTATTTAGGTGGTTTCCACCACATTTGAGAAATCAATGCATAAAGAAAAGTCCTGGAAGGCTTTTAAAGTTTTAAGTCAAGTACTTTGCCTTTACCTCCGTTGGCTTCAAGCAGAATACTAACGATGCAATCTGAAGCTTATTCACTGGAGTCCAAACTCTGGAAAATTCATTTCCCTAAAGACAAGTAACACAAGCCATGCAGCCTGCAGACCTGAATCATGTAGTCATTTCCACAAAGTTTGCCCACCCGGGCCCAAACTAAAGTTGAAGCCTCCAGGTCATTTCTTTTCTTTCTTTTTCTTTGTTGCTCTGTTAAATGTTATCTTATACTCTTGTTACTGGATAGCCCAGAGTGGCAGCTTTTAACTGCTACAACCCAACTATACTTCTTATGAAGAATCAACAATGACTTGTCATCTTTCGTAGATAAATACATTGCTTGCAGAAAGCCTTTCCCTCCCCTACATGTAAACCTATATGCTTGTACCCTATAGTAGAGGTCTCACCTGACTTTAATCTAAAGCATACAATACTTATGAACTATCCCAGTTGTTTCCAAATACCCAGAAACTAAATGATTGCACTTTTGTTGCTACATAGTGCTAGGGATTGAACACAGAACCTTCACAAATGTTTTACCATACCACCGAGCTACAGTCCTGGCCCCAGATGACCATCTCAGAGTCTACTCATCATCTATGCAGTTAGTAACAAATCTCTGAGCTCCCATGTTTGTTCCATCAAAGAGGCAGGTGTCTAGACAACAAACCCTTACAAGTGGTCAGCACTAAAGGAAGAAAAAAATCCAAGGGGCTGAGAGATAGCACAGCAGAAAGGAATCTGCAACAGTTGTTGATCATTTTCCACTTAGTTCCTTGGACTTAAAGCTGAGAAACTCGAAAACCTGACTTCTCCCTCTTTTCTTTCCCTTTCTCTTCCAGGATGTCACATAGCAAAGAAGAAAGGAAGTGATATAAAATATATGCATTCCTCCTCTGCTTCCACACTGACCCCGCCCAGTTTCAAATGGTGATACTGTTACTTTTTGACAAATTAAATATGCAACATGAAACAAAAATCACATAAAATGGAGTACAGACTTTACTACAGACATGTATGTAGTTTGTGCAAATCCCCAAAAAAATTAGCTACAGAACAAATTCAGGCAAAGATGGAAAGGATGCCCTCTTTGTGGACTGGAATTTTAACAGTGGACACAATCTGTGGTCACATTACACTTTAGCTCAGCTCAGGATGAATCAGCACAAAAGGGGAATATCATGCTCTAACCCAATGTTGGAGGTATTCTACCCTCTGAAATAAAATATCCTTAATGAAGAGCAGATGGTCCTCAGGATGGATGAGACATAGAGGGAGGATGAGGGAGGATGAGGGAGGATGGGGTGGGCAGATGTAGAGGAGAAGGAAGATACGTGTGACAAGACAAATACTCTGAAAGAGTAAAGAACCAAACAGTCTAGGAAACAGATTTGAAAAGTGGAACTCCAGGACACAAAAGAAAGCAAAATGCAGAGAGTAGAAACACGGTGCTGAGGAAGAGGTGGGCAGCCACAGAACTGCAGTGGAGGAACAAACTAGGCGGTGACTGGAATCAAAGGCATCCGAGGACCTAAAAAGAATCTACAGCGAGGGGCCAGGTCAAGACAACAGGAACAAAGATGATAGAAAATATAAAAACATGGAGCTGCAGAATACTCATGTTTTAGCGAAGTAATTTGAAACCAACAAGACACTGTTAATTCATTAAAAAAAACTCAATATAGAAAAGCAGTGAATCTTTTGTAGGAGGAGAGAATTGGGTCAGTTGAAAGTTGAGGTGTCATTTGTGGAGGCTTTGGAGGGCTCAGAAAAAGAATTCTCTCAACATTTGTTATTCAAAAGCCATAACAGAGAAATGTTGAAAAGACTTGCTAACATACTACAATATTTAAAGATGAATTTACTAATCATTCCAACTTGCAGCAAAAGAATAAATAGCGTGCTGTGTTACTGCACACCCAATGTATGGGTTCATTAAATATTTACTGATAGAACAAACTTCCTTTATTGATGTTGTGTGAAACAGCATCTTGGGCTAAAGGACATTTGAAATTCCACAATTAGGATGTAGCTAATTTTTTTTTAGTTAGCATATAAAAGAATGGATTTCATTATAATCTTTCTCTGAGTCACCTCTCACTGCTCTTCCCTACCCTTTGCTGGATCTTCTCCTAGCAAAGTTTCTCCTCCTCACAAAAGCATATACACATGCATGTATGCTTCATGCCACAGACATCCACATATATATCGGTAGACCTGGATTCCACTCATAAGCAGGAAAAATGGCATTTTGTCTTTTCCGTTTAATAATTACCTTCTCAGTTGGGGAGGAGGAACTGTCTAAGGGCAATCTCATGGGCGGTCCATCTGCAGACTTTCAGCTGGAGTGTGTATGCAGAAGATTTAATGCATCCGAGGGGAGACTGGACCACGCAGACTTGATATGCCTGGTTACTCACTCTCTGAAAGTTGTCTTCATGTCAAATGCTAGGGCTATGACTACAATGCAAGAAGGCCAGAGTTAAAACAGGAGTCTGATGATGAAGCACAGAATCAATAAAGGTTGAATTGGAACTCATGGGAGTGGGCAGAAATGACTATGCATCGCTCAACACCTCTGACACAAAACAAACAAACAAACAAACAAACGTGTCTTCCAAGACTGGTTCCCATTTCCAAGCAGGCAAACACACCATACTGTAAAAGCTAACGAAGAACCCAGGGAGGCCACGGTGGCAGAACGGAATCCTGCCATACTAAGGCCAACCAGCAGACCAAAAAACGTTGCTACTAAAGCACCTTCCCCCACCCCTGGGATATAAAGCCAAAATGGCCATGGCTTCTCGTCTGCATCCCTAAACAGAAATATATAAGGGTGGAGCGAATTTTAAGAAGTGAAGCCAAGCAGGACCAAACTAGCCAACTAGAAATGTTATGATCTCTTCCATGAGTTTTAAGTACCAACCTTTCTGGAAGCCAGAGTTCATCATTCTTCCAATGCCAGTGCCCCAGGGTTCTGTACAACAGTTCACAGGAACCAACATGTATTGATCCTTACAAGGTCCCTCACTGTCACAGCAGCAGCCTCCGTGCCCATTTGAATTAAAGTCTCTCTCTCTCTTTGACTCTATTAAACCTCCCAGCTCACTCTTTTCTAGCTCTTTCTCACTGGTTGTAAGACCGCCCACAGCTAAATCCTCCTCAGTACCTGCAGCTGCGATTCAGGAATACACCTGAAAACCCAGCATGCCATTTTCAGCTCTCACTCTCAAATTCGTGAATCCTATTAAGTTTGCTCAACTCCAGAGGTTTGTGAGACAGGATCTTACTGTGTTGTTCAGTCTAGCCTCCCACTCATGATCCCCTGCCTCAGTCTCCAAGTGCTGTCTTACTAAGTGTCACTACATCCAGCCTCAGTGAATTTGTAGTCACTTTCCAGCAGCCTTCCTTTAGTTCCCTAGTTCATTCTAGAGCTTTCTTTGATGTATGTACCATCATCCACTTCCCCATTTCATGTTTCTACTGGAATTTCAAACACATCCTCCCCCTTTTCACACTTAGCTCATGGCCTTGCTATGTATTTACATCAGTGATAGGTCTACCTCTGTATAAGAAAGCACTAAAACATCGTGGCTTAAAACAAAAAAACAAAAACCGCCTCATTTAAACCACTACTCTGTGACTTGATAAATCAGACTTAATTGTCCTCAGGTGGGTTCACTCATATGCGGAGCTCTCAACTGAGGCAGTTAGCGGCAGCAAAAGTCTTCCATCTTGATATTCAGCAGGGTGCCCAACGACAGTGGAAGATGCAGAGCATCTTAGAGCCTAAGATGAGATTATACAGCCTCTCATATACTGTGTTTCACAGGCAGCACATTGGAAATAACCTTTGAAATAGGCTCAGCCTCTTGGTGAGAGGACTATTTGTGGTTACATTCACAAACTACCCCAGTGTTTGATTAGTCATGAGAAGGCCAATGTAAAGTACCCATAGTAAGAAGGTGTCCCACGCCACAGTCTCGCCAGCAAGAACAACACAGGACACTCGGATCCTTCTGCAGTAAAGCTTTAATGCATCTTGAGAGATAGATGATCAGCTTCTGAGAGGGAGACCCCAAGCTAAGAAACCCAGCCCCTTATATAAGCCTAGGAGCGATGAGTGAGACGTGTAGAGCCGGAATTGGTGGTTTGCTCATCACCCCAGATGACGCCACGGGAGAGGCAGAGCTTAAACGGTGAACTCCAACTGACAACGGATGTCGGTGCCATCTTCTAATGGCGATAGCGAGGGCGGCTCCTCACAAGAAGGTAGAAACCAAAACACGAAAACTATATCTTTGCCAGTGTGCTCATACAAATGTTTATTCAATATCCATGCTACCATTTTAAACCATCAAATTATACACCACAACTTTCCTGAAGAAGAATGTCAGTATTCCATGACTTAAAGGTCAAATGCAAAGACAGCTTTTATAAATCAAGTTTTATTGGTAGACAGTCCTGTTAATTCATTTAGGTATTTTCTTTGCCTGTTTCCAGTTCAACAGTCACATGTAGTATACTAGAAACTGCATGGTTAACAAAGCCTAAAGTATTCAGTGTCTCACCTTTTACAAAAAGAAAAAGGGGAAATTTCCAACTCCTGATCACCAGCATTATTTCACCAGCCCTCAAGTAAATGATATTTTTAAATATAACTCCAACAGACACACTTCCGTCACTCAAATCCTAAAATACTGTAAAAAAAAAAAACTGGCCCAACAGAGCCACACCTTATGGATTTCTGTTATCTATGTTGGAAGTCAGTGCTTTAGTAGCCATTTTGGGTTCCCATATATGAAATATTTCTCATAGCAGAACTAACTCTACCTCCAACCCTGAAAGAGTCCACAGTGCAAATAGCATAAAAGCTAAGGAATGTGAAAGGCCTGTTTTATACTCAGTATCAAGCTAGTAAACAATATTGAAAAGAGTAAAAATGTACATGCAGTCCTTAGGCACTAATACACCTCAGGATCTGCTGGGATGACCACTTTGGGGCCCTATCTTTCAGAGACATGAATCAGAAAGTTTAAAAGATGGCCTAAAAACCGCATTTTTAACAGGCAGTACATTAATGTTGCAGTTGTTGATTTATTTATGTTTATTTACATATTATATTTATGTGCAATATCACTTTGAGAAACTCTGAACTAAATGAGCTTAGAAATAACATAATAAATAGGGCTTACTTAACCATGACTTTTGTTTCTTAACTTTTCAGAGAAAAGAAATACTCTATTTTCTGTATTTATGATATGCTAGTAACATATCTTATACCAATGTACTCATTATTATATACTAGTAATATATCATTCCTCAAAATTTTTCGAGGGTTCACTAAAAACTTACCAGTAAGTACACTGTATTTAATTCTACAAAATTATGTTATTTAACTTCTGTTGCATAAATTTTTCCTGGGAACACATGACAAACATCTCTTTACTATATTCAGGCTATCAAGGACATGCCAAAACAGCAATTACATCCAAGTCCAGCTTAGTAAACCAATGAGTTTATTGAGCTTGTTTATAAAGGATGTATAGTTACAAATGTGTGCATACCCTCCTCCACCAAACAGTCATACAACTGGAAAGTCTTGGCCAGAACAGATGCTACCTTCCCTATAGGTGCATAGATGAGAATCTCTCTTCAGCTAACCTTCCATCCTCTAGTACCTGAGGAGACCAGGAGGCTACATGAAGCTGGGGCAGAATCATATATAACTGGCAAAGATGCACAGCAGAGAGTGGCTGAAATCTTGGGGGACAGTGTACCGATCTTTTCCCACCCCTTCCTTCTTGTCTGGTATATCAGCACACCTGACTCTGGGTGCCTTTTATAAGTAGTCACAATTTTCCAATGAAGATGTTAATGTTTGTTATTCTCAAAGGACAGCATTCCACAACAACCATTCTTGTGTTCTTTCTGATGACACTGATTTTTTTTTCAAGATTTTGAATGTATGTGACATGGGCATGATGATACCCACCAAGGCCAAAAGAAGACTTCAAACCTCTTGCAGTTCACGGTAGAGATGACTGTGAGCTGACCAGCACTGGTGATGGAAACCAAAATGTGGACCTCTGAAAGAGCAACAAGTAATCTTAACTATTGAACTACCCCATCCCTATCAGCATTTTAAAATTATTAACTCATAGAACCTAGTTCGTACCCTGGAAAACACTTTTATAGTCCTTACTTTGCCCCTAGACTCCCCCCAGAACATTATGTGCTGAAATTTCTCCTAATCAAATATTGATATCAATACATATGGTAGCTTTATATCAAGTTAAATAGTTTTATATTATATATGTCAGTACATACACACACATATATAGTGTCAATTAAAATTTACAAAAACAATTAGCATTGCAGAAGGCTAATTTAAATTAGAAGTCAGATATGACCCATCCAATATGTATGTGCACTCTCAAGGCAGAAGTTTCTTTTCTAACAGGGACAGGTTAGGCTAACTATTCTCTTTTGTGTTTTCCAAGTTTTAGTCTGTGATTTTTTTGCCGTGTACATTTATTCCAATGCCTTAAAAATCAATTTCAAGTGTTTATATATAGTACTTGGGGAATAAAAACAGATACAATAAAGTCAGAAAATAATGTGTCCATCTTTATTAGGGACCTATGTAAAAACTAAGAAAGAATAGTGTAAATTGACATGAATAGAGGCAATAATATACTTTTCCCTTTTAAATCAATGAACCATGTAAGGTTACATTTCACTACAATTTTAATTTGATATGACTGTGTCACTGGGATGTTGCTGAGAGGTCTTACTGAATGAATTCTCCTATTTTTCGGGTTATCATAAATAATGTTCAGAAGGAATTGTGAGAAAGTGAAAATTTTCTTGCAGCCTGTTCTAAAGCACAGATGCAAAAGTCAAAAAAAGTTCTTTTTCCATTGTTTTGCACTGATGTATACCTTAAGATAACAAATCTCATGAAAATAAAAGGCATTGAGATGTCCCTTCATGAACCCCAACAAAAAAGAATTCAGAAGAAGCACAGATGGAAGAAAATGTCACAGGTATTTCATAAGCAACCTGTATTAGTTGCTTTTCACATTACTTCAACAGGGTTCCGTACAGAAAGAAGAGAAGGAAGGGTTTGCTCTGGCCCACTGCATTATGGTAACCTCCATCATAAAGGGGCAAGATATCTGCAGTAGAAAGCAAAAATGAATGTTGATTCTCCACTTACTTTCTCAGTGTTATCTCTTCTAGACCCCACCCACCTTTAAGAATAGATTCTCACTCAGTTAGACCTCTCCAGTAACAAACAGCCTTACTGATACATTCAAAGTGTGTGTCCTATGAGATTCTTAATCAAGTTGACAATTAAGATTACTCATCACCCAAGCTCAATACAATCCTTTGTATTTAGTTGTTGGTTGTTGACTTGTATACCATGTGCATAGATGCAACAAGAAACCTAGTAATTTCTAGCTAAAGCACCATAGAGCCTACAAATACATCAAGAAGAAAGTATAGTAGGTCCCAAGAAAAGGGCACAGCTTTCTAAGCAGAGTATCATTGAACATGTGTGTCTTGGTTAGGGTTTCTATTGCTGTGAAGAAACACAATGACCACAGCAATTCTAATAAAGAAAAACATTTAGTTGGGACTGACTTACAGTTCAGAGATCTAGTCCATTATCATCATGGTGGGAAACATGGCTGTATGCAGGCAGACATAGAGAGGTAGCTGAACATTCTACATTTGATCAGCAGCAGATGGTCATAGCTTAAGCATACCAGACCTCAAAGTCCTCCCCAATGGTGACCTACTTCCTCCAACAAGGTCACATCTCCTAATAGTGCCACTCCCTATGGGCCAAGCATTGAAACCCATGAGTCTATTGGGACATTCCTATTCAAACCACCACATTCCATTCCCTGGCCCCCATAGGCTTGTAACCATAACAAAATACAGAAATACATTCAGTCCAACTTCAAAAGTCCCCATAGTCTATAACAGTCTCAACCCTGCTTAAAAATCCAAACTTCAATGTCTCTTCTGAGCTTCATGCAATCTCTTACCTGTAAAAATGTTGCCAAGTTCTGCTGTTTGCTGGGGCTGGTACATGGCCCACTCGTTC